CTCTCCTTACCCTAGAAAACTACTGTTCTGAGATGCCATAGTATTAAATGGCATCTCCATTAATACCCATGAAGAACCATTTGGGTTTTTGTCAAACTGTGACACATTTAGTAACACACTCCCTTGTATGTGTTCAGCTTTCTCTCCCACTTCACTTCCATTCCCCCCCTCAACACACACACTTTTGTTTTCAGAGGATGACAGCTCCCAATAAAGCATCCATTTTTTAGGGAACTGAGCTAAAAGAACTGGTATCAAGAGTCGCTAGAAGAGGCCAACCCTCAGGATCAAATTTTGGAGTTGAATTAGAAAGCTGTCTGGAAATAATGGGGAGCCAATTTCTGGTAGTTAGTGTGCTAACAACAATAATAATTATTATTACTTGTTATTGTCCTATATAATGCTTTCTTATTTATTTTTTAATTTTAAAAAGAAGAGAAAAAACAAAAGGTAAAAACAAAACAATAAAAACAATAAAATGATACAGAATTTCAAAACAAGGTTATAAGAAATTAACAATAATTATTATAGTACATATTGTTATCTTCAAAATAGTTGCTCAGATATCCCAACATAGGCATGTAAGATGGATCAAACAATGAAGAATTAACTGTTCTTTTCAACAAACCAATCAAAATCAGTGGAAATTTGTCATTCATTTTTTGTTTCACTTTATTAAAATAAAGGTTCATTTCAAAATAATTATGATATTTATTTATTCACTTAATATGTTCTTATTGATCTCCCATGGTATGCCAGGTACTACACTAGAACTAATCAAATTGGGGAGGAAGAACCTCCTAAAAAAAGAAGTTCCTCAAGCTCACGGAGCTAATAGTATGAGAAAGTAATCCATTTAAACAAACAAGGATACTGTAGTGGGATGAATAAAGGCATGGTAATAATTCTAGCATGCAATCTCATGACAATTCTAAAGCTTTCACCCATAATTAACCTGGAGGATGCACAAGTAGAAGGTAGCCTTGGGCTACCAACTGGCTGCTGGTCTATCATTGCTCATATGAAACAATGATACCGGTAAGAACCGTGGACACTGCTTTAAAAACCCTTGCAAAATATGAAGATGATAGGCTCAGCACTGCAGATGTTACAGACAATAAAATTAGAAAATAACAATAAAATGAGAAGCAAAAGGGCCTTCCAACACACACACATTCTCAACCACATACGTACAACAGGAATGAAGAAATTCTTAAACCAAGTACTATTTTAGTCCAATGATGGAGCAAGAATCCAATGATGCCTCAGATTTCCAGGACCTGTTACATCAGTCAGAAAAGAAAGAGAAAAAGATAGATTGTTCCTGTTTGCAGATGACATGATCATTTATATAAAAATACCTAAAGATTCCACCAAAAACTATTAGAACTGATAAGCAAATTTTAAAAAGTTCCAGGGTACAAAATAAACAAGCAAAAATAAGTAGTATAGCATTTCAAACTGAAAAAGAACTTTCTGAGAGAAGAAATCAAGACAATAATCCTATTTAGAATAGCTACAAAAATAAAATGAAATACTTAGGAATAAATTTAGCCAAAGAGGTGACAGACCTGTATGTTGAAAATTATAAAACATTAATGATAGAAACTGAAGAACATACAAATAAATGGAAATATATATATATATATCTTATATTCATAGATTGCAACAAGTAATACTTCGAAAATGTCCTTATTACCCTCAAAGTGATCTACAGACTTGGGGCAATCCTTATGAAACTTTCAATGTCATTTCCCATAAATAAATTTTAAAAAATCCTAAAATTCACCTGGAATAACAAAGAAACAAAAAATATCCAAGGCAATCAGAGACAAAATGAACAAAACTGGAAGCATCACACTATCAGCTTTAAAAGTACATCCTACAAGTGATATTGATTTAAACAGCATGATATTGCCATAAAAATAGATACATCTACCAATGGAACCAAATAGACAGCCCAGGAAACAACTCATGCATTTGCAGTCAATTGATCTCTGACAAAGGTGCCAGGAACATAAAATAGGAAGACTCTTCATGAAATGTTATTGAGGGGCCAGGGATATAGCTCAGTGGCACATCACCTGCCTGGCAAGTGTAGGGTCATGTGTTCAATTCCCAGAACCAAATAAATAGATAAATAAATAAATAAATACACGGTATTGGGAAAACCAGATATCCATATGTTTAAAAAAATGAAATTGAATCCTTACCTCACATCATATACAAATTCAACTTAAAATAGATTAAAGAATTAAATGTAAGGCCTGAAACTAACACTAGAGGAAAACATACATGAAAAACTACATCAAATAAATCCAGGAATAACTATTTAAATTATACCCCCAAAATCATGAGCAAAAGCAAAGACAGACAAATAAGACTACATCTAAGTAAAAAGTTCCTAAATATCCCCCCAAAAAAAGATGTTCAAGTGAGGTGAGAACTTATGGACTGGGAGGAAATATTTGCAAACTACATTTATGAAAAAGGATTTAGTACACAAAATATATAATAAACTCAAGTACACCTTCTGGCCTCTTGTCTATAGCTTGATGCATGACCTGCTTTCTCCAAGTGGTGTCTTAATGATCACCTTCCTTCGGCTTCTCCTCTTTTTTAATATCAAAACATACACAGACTTGGCTCTACAGGATCCTCCACAGTAAGTTGCCGATCCAGACTGTTCTAGATTTGAGGGTGAACTTCAGATATAAATATGTTGTCTGAATTATGAAGAGAAAACTGGAGAAAACGGCCTTCACCTAGAGCAGCAGAAAACATAACCAGAAATTGTGAAATGATGGGCTTTGTGCAGCTAGATTTATATGAACTCAAAGTGTTTTCCTAAATATTCTGCATATTATAGCAAGCACCTTAAAAATTAGGTTGCTGCTTTTTTTATAGCAGAATTCTAACTTCCTATTATGTCTCTGGCTTTATTTATTAATGTATTTAACCCAGGGACTGTATGAAAGATTGCTGAATGGTGAATGAATGGGTAAATGCTTCTAGTCTTAATTAGCTAAGTTATAGTACTAGATCATTTTATAGTAGTTGAAAAAGATAACAGTGTCTTTTTTTTCATTACTGGTGATATGACCCAAGTGCTGTACACTGAGCTACATCCCAGTCCTTTTTTTTAATTTTGAGACAGGGTCTTACTAAGTGGTTCAGGCTAGGCTTGAACTTGTGATCCTCCTGTCTCAGACTCTCAGAGTACTATAATATTATAGGCTAACACCATTAAGCCTGGCTCAGTTTTAATTATTTTTAGAAAAACCACTAGAACTAAGTAAGGAAGGCCTCAAACTTGAAGTAGCAAAATAATCCACTGAAGAACTGGATTCATTGGTATTAACTATCTTATTGATGACTTCTACACCAACATATCGGCTCTGAAGCACAACTGAGGCCTATAAAACCAGAAATCAGTTGGTTCCTAGATCAACTTTAACCTCTGACCATGTGCAGCTTCCTTTGGGCTCCACAAATACTGCAAAGATAGGCTACCTTATACCTAAAACTATTGGGCTTGCCAGTATGTGTCTTTTTCAATTTTCTTTCTTCTATTCCCCTAGTTTACTTATTTTGGTGGGAATGTAAACTCTTTGCTATGCTCTGTCTCCTTCCTCTGTCCTAATCAGTCAGTTGTCAGTCTTCTATCCATTCTGATGAGGTCTGTTCGTTATATATTAATTGCACTATTAACCCACAACTATGAATTTTTTGCTTAAGCCACTGGTAGCTAGTTTTTCCCCAGACTGTAACTTCATGGTCAAAAAGGTTACTGACAAGTGAGATGTCTCTTTAATATAATCAAAGGGAAATGACTGCACAGCAGATAGGCCCAATTATTGTGCCATTTTAATGTGATTATTTTAAGAAAAGCATATGCATTTAATCAATGATCAACAATAAATTATAAAGCTTTGTGCTAAGAGTATGGAGCTTTACCTGTTGGCAAAATATCTGTTGGTAAAATATTTACTGACATCCTGCATTGGAAGTCATAGTCCTACCCTGATCTATTAAAGATCTGTCTTGTGGCATGCCAGGAAGATAAAGACATACTGTTCTCCATTCTCAATACAGTACCCAAGACACGGAGTTAAAAGTGATAGATTAACATAGTGGATAAGAATGGCACTCGTGAGCTGTGTAACCTTGGGACAGTTAATAAATCCACTGTGCCTCTACTTCCTCAGCCATAGAATGGAGACAATAACAGTATCTCCTTAACAGTGTTTTGTGACATGTAAATGAATTAATATGCAGAGAGTAACCAGAACAGATCTTGGCACTAAGAATGAGATTCTCATTCCATTTATCAAGTAATAAATTTATCAACTTCGTACTACAGAGCAAGTGCTGTTAGGAAATGGAACCATAATAATTAACAAGACAGGATGTCTGCTTTCCAAAATCTTGTAGTCTAATGGGTCCATAGCAGGTCACTGCCTTGTATTAAAATATCTAAGCCCTTGGCAATAAAAAAAATATGGTAAACTGCAACTGTTCTGCAGGACACTCTGACAATGAAAAAACAAGGTGAGATTTTTTTTGCAGAATCTTAAAAGCAAATACCAACTTACAGTTATTATTTGGGAACCTCAAAGTGCTACATAATATTTCATTCTGCCTCAGAATGAAATACTTCATTCTGGGTCACTTGGAGAATTTTCTAAGTCTCCATCTCCTCAGGTATGTATGAACCTAGTTAACTGACTCAAATGCTGATGCCATACTCTTATTTCATGTAAACTTGTAAGAAACAGAATGTGGTAGATATGTAAAGCCAAAATCTGCACAGGAATTGGTAAAATAAAGGTAAAATTCCATGTAACCCAGCTTCAGTGAGAAAAATTCTTAGATTTAGAAACAGATCTCTGATTAATGTAGTTATAGAAAGAAAGTTGTAAAGTTAAATTGTAGAGGATGGCATGATTGAGACCTCTGAATCCAGCACTTTCTTCCTTGAAATTATAAATTTGCAATCATGAAAATTAAAATGACTAAAATCCACTTATCTTTGGGGATTGGTTTACAAATTACTGCATAACACGCACATCAAATGACTTCAGCAGGAGAAGATGAGACACAGAAATAGTAAAGAGGCCTCCCACCTGAAATCTCCAAGGAAGCTGTATGAATTCTGGACACTTACTCCGTTTCTCTCAAACAGATAATGTTCAAATGTTCTAAATTGGTTATAAATGTTAATATCTGAGAACCAACTTAAACAAAACTCAACATTTTGTCCCTCAGCTCTGCTCCCTTGCCTACAGAAGAAAAACATACTTGGTATAAGAATTGGTACAGTAGCTCTTTCATGGGTCCTGTCCCGTCAAAGGACTGTAGACTACAGAACCCAGGCAGGTGTGTTGTTCTGTGATGCTACCAATTCCAACCTGCTTAAGAAATTTCTGCACAGATTAAATCACCAACAGAAATAGGAATTTTAAAGCCTGGAAAAAGGGTGTGGCAGTCTTCCTAGAAGGGTGGAATGTGCATCTACCCCTCTGAGCTAAAATGGATGAGGAGCAAGAGAAAAGCATTCAAGAATCCTGGGGAGTAAAAGAAGGAGGCTGGTTTGTCAGTCTTAAACTGAATATTTGCATAAGTGCAGAAACTAGTTAGCCCTCCATGTTAATCTACTTCCCATACCTGAAACAAAATACCTGAGATGGCCAGCTTACAATGTTTAGTTTGGGTCATAGATTTGAAGGTTCCAGTCCATTGTCAATTGGTCCAAGTAACTGGCTGTGTTCCTCAATTGATCTGAGACCCAGTGATAATCAAATCATGAACAATTATAACAATTGCTTTCCACAGCAATATCTGGTAAATGGGAAAAGACAAATTCTGAAACACCTCTGTAATTCTTACTTATTTGTTCTAGAATGAAACTGAATTGCACCATTGCCCATATGGTGTAACATTGGTTTTGTCGGCAAGATTAAATTACCTCCTATAAATAAGTTATATAACAATACTCATCCAAATGGTCACTGAGCATGAAGATCAAATATTTGAGAAGACAGAGTTAAAACTTCTTTAGGATGTAATACTCATAAAAATTGACTGGTCAGAGACAGAACTAGGTTTAACTAAACATCAACTTATATGTATGCTAAATAGTTCCACACAGTTTTATCACAAGGTATAAATAAATGTAGATCAAGGAGAAAAAATGACTAATCAAATTAGGACAAGAATGAGATGTGTATTACATGCCTTTATAGAAGGGATCACTGTTTCTTAACATCTTTCCCACCCCACCCTGCCTTTTCCAAATGTTAAGTATCTCTATGATAATAATATTTTTGCATCTGTTGTATAAATGTTGTGTAAATGGAGGTGTTCAGATAAATAATCATCTTAGTAAGAGAACCTAGGAAAAGGGCATGGATATGGACTATGTAGGGGAGAGATCACACTTCAGGACTGGGTTGCTGAAAGCTCCCATACTTCCAAGAAATGTCGGGCTCAAGATGAACCCTTAGCTGGCTCTTGGGAGAAGAGAGCTAAGATCCTGGAATAGTCTGCCTGATAGGAATGTTTTTGTATATCTGCGGCCTTGGCCATCCAGTACCAGCCTGATCAGATAGTGTATTCTAAAAATGTGATATCTGGTATGTATCTGGTTTTGCGTGGGATGGGGGTGTTAAGGTGTGAGTAATTGAAGTCATTCATGCCTATGTGACTCAGCCCAACTAAAATCTCTGAACCCTGGGGCACTTACGAGCTTCCCTGGTTGGATACACTTTGCATGCGTTGTCCTACACACATCCTGCGGGACGTGTGTTCATCCATGTGACTCTCCTGGTGGAGTACGTTCATTCACATGACTCCCTGGGAGGGGACATCTAGAAACTTATATTGTGTTTCTTCTGGACTTCATGCATGTGACTTTCCCCTTTGCTTTTTAAATCTCTGTTGTGTCACTATAATAAACTGTAACCATGAATAGAACAATTTTTTCTGAATCCTTTAAGCCCTTTAAGGGAATCATCAAGCCTGAGGATAATTTTGAGATCCCCTCATTTATGTACCAATTATGGAAGGCTGCATAGAAAAGGTAAATATAAGCTGAGACTTAAAGGAAGGATGCAGATCCTAAGGTACAATAGGTAATTCAAGACAGGAGAGACACTAGACATGTAGAGGAAAGGTTCTTACTGCAACTAAGAATCATGAAAAGGAATAAAGAAGTAATTTCACCTCATGTAGAAGCATTTGGACAGCCTGTAACTAAAGTCCTCTTTCTGACTACTTTCTAACTCTGGCAATAAATAATGCCAAATTGCATTTTTGTTTGTTTTCTAAATTGTGTCCCAGAAGTTTGGAAGCTCACCATTAATGACTCTAGCTCATTCATGCTCCTTAAAACAGCCATGAAACTTGTTTTTGTTTGAATGTTGATGAGTTGTGAATTTGATCTTTCATGGAAACTAGTTCTTTTATTTTTACAGATGAAGTCCACAAACACAAATCTCCATAGACTGTCACATTTTTTGAGAAAAGTCACCAATTGTGCCACATGATAGAACATTACTATAAAAAGTTATTCCACATCAACTGTCAACAAAAGCATCTCAATTCTCTATGTTTTGCCAAGGCACTTTGCCAACCAGCTAAAAATATTCTATCACGGACAGTTGA